GATGAAATGGGGGTCTCTGGAGGCCATCAAAGGGCAGTACAACTGGGGAAACGCCGACAAATTGGTTGCGTATGCAGAGCAACACAATATGAAGATCAGGGGACATACCCTCATATGGCACAAACAGTTGCCCTCATATATTGCGGGACTGGAGGGCAAAAGGCTGAGCTCGAAAAAGTGATCAAGGATCATATTAATACAGTAGCTGGACATTTCAAAGGTATGATTTAAAAAATTATTTATTTATTTTAATTTATTTTTAAAATCTTAATAAAAACACAAAATGTTACTGATAAGTTAATAATTAGCCTTATCATTAGATTTAAAATTATTCACAATTAATTATTATTTATTTATATTTTTATTGTATATAATGAATAGTTTTATAAACTAAAAGTAATTAATAATAAAAATATGTTTCAATTCATAGGTAAGATCTACGCGTGGGATGTCGTCAATGAGGTGATCGATGACGGGTCCGGTAAACTAAGGGACAGCATATTCTCGCGAACTTTTAACTCCAGTTTTATTGAGGAGGCCTTCCGTACGGCACACGCGGCCGACCCTAACGCCAAGCTATACATCAATGACTACAACGTCGAAGCCGTTAACACAAAGTCAGACGCCTTATACGCGTTGGTCAAGGAGCAGGCTATTTCTTTGGGAGTCCGAAACGACCGTTGGAACTTAAACTTAAAAGTCTCACATCACACAAAATTTTGAGCATAAAAACTGGTATGACTATAAAATTCAAAAATTCAAAAATTCAAAAATTCAATTTATGAGTAGTGGTCAGTAGTGGTCAACAATGGTCAGAAGTGGTCAACAATGGTCAGTAGTGAACTGAATTAACTTAATTATGCACTGATTTGACTTGATTGTACACTGAATTAACTTAATTGTACACTGAATTAACTTAATTATGCAGAAGTTAATTCAGTTCACAATCAAGTTAATTCAGTTCACAATTAAGTTAATTCAGTTCACAATTAAGTTAATTCAGTGTACAATTAAGTTAATTCAGTGTACAATTAAATTAATTCAGTGTACA